AAATTAATTAACTAACTTTTGTCATTAGAATCAGAAGTAATATTATACAGGGATAAGGTCCACTTTTGTCTCCGAAGCATCCGCTCTCGGTTGCCTTCACTTCTGCCCTCCGCTGCTCTGTGGCTCCGTCATCATCTGATAGTACAAGCACCCAAATTTGACAACAGCAAGCACAAGTTCCTAGATCTAACGCTATTCTTAATATTTCTGGCTCATGTTTTAACATTTATAGAGTTGAGAAAAAGAATAGGGTAGTTGTACGATTTTAGAGTGGCTATAGAATATTTTTAAGTTATATATTTATATATTGATAGATATTTATGTGTGATTTTCTAGACTCTCTCACATTTGAAAGCTTTGGGGTAACTTTGTATAATTACCTGTAATCTAAGAAATAATAGGTAACTTAGAAATGGTTGTATATGCATATTAATTATTTGCAAATGTTATTGTTGTTAGTTTTCTAATAAAATAATTATTTTAGTATAAAATGTGTGTGTATAGATATGTTTATGTATGATAAATATTGAGTTTTCAAACAAACAGAACTTTAATTTATATACATTTCTATTTCATCCATGACTTATGCTATTAAATACTATTTGCAATAATTAAATATCTCGATAGTTATGATTATTGAATTATATTGAATTGCACTGTTGATTTTCATTATTTTTTATTAAGAATAATGGTATATTTGTTAATATATTTTGTTATAACATTATTTATCATGACATATACATTCTATGATGGGTTGAGATAAGAAAGAGATTGGTATGATTTAATTAACATGTAGTATGTCATCACTCGATACATGATGGATGACACTTGTTAGAGCTCACTTCTTTCATATTTTTCTTTAGTCGAAATTCCATTGAAGTTGTGAAACATGTGACACCTCCCTTTTTTTTTTTTTTCCTTTTAAGGACGGGAGCCATAGTCCAGACTTGAACTCTATATCTTTAGTCAGGTATATCTCGAGTACTAATGAGCTTGAAACAATCCAATTCAACAGATAAGTTTTTGTTAAACTATATGTTAGCCTATGATTCCAATCAGCGAAATAAGAATGGATAGTGATATAAAGGTGGTTGCATAATGCATTTAATGTTGTCAAACGCATATTGTAAATGAATATTGATTGGCTCTATTGTTGATTTAATGATAAAATTTTGGTACAATTTAAACACTTGATGTGTATAAATATATACATATAGTTTTGATAAAATATGTGTATTTTGTTTGTATATGTTAGAGATTTCAGTTGTGACTAAGACGTTGGATCTTATCCTTTCCATTAATATTTTTATGTGATGGATTTAGTACAAATCAAGGAAAGACAGCAATGGAATAAGCCAATAAGACTTTCGCATTTTATTTTACTAAGTTATTCAAAAAGATTTATTTTGGAACTATGAGATGTTATTTATGTTTGGAGCTGAATACCTTTTTTTTTTTTTAAATAATTTGGATATCAGAAACACTTAGGGCTATTTATGAAATATTTTCTTACGTATATGGATTATATGTTTAAGGTGCTATAAAAAGTATAACTAAAATTTCACCAAAACAAAAAAAGTATAACTAAATTGTGGCCTTCGCGGTCTCTAAACGATTGAGTGCCATGAACAACTAAAGGCATAACTAAATTGCTGCCTTCAAGGTCTCTAAATGATTCCCAGAAAATAACAACATAACTTGAGAAGAATAAAAAACTTTAGCAATTCCAAAATAGGATGTAAGAAGTGTTGTGAAAATCTGGTGCATAGTTTTTCCTGGTAACCCCAACTTCCTTCATCAAATGCAATGAAGCAACAGGAAACAAGTCTCCAAGAATTATAAAGGTGAATACAATGATGTCTGGATCAATAGTTTCTATTACCTGTTTACTTTCTGCACTTGGCTCCCTAGGTATTCGTTCAAAATATGCATGAAGCTTATCTTTAGCAAAATATTTGTGTACCATCAAAATCAGTCCTTTGATATCAAATAATTCTTGCAAGTGCCTCTTAGGAACATTCATGCTCTGATAAGTAGCTGAAGATGAGGGAGCAGAACCAACAGCAATTTCAAATGCTATCTCATAAAGTTGTAAGACTGAATATCTGGGAACAAATTTACTTGCGAATTTTTTGATAAATTAGTGACGGAATTTTTCCGCTGCTAATATTAGCGATGGATTAGCAGTGAAATTTCTATCCGTCGCTAATCTGTCGAGACATTTGTAAGTAAATATTTAGCGATGGAATCAGTGACAGAAAAATTCTATCGCTAAATTGTTTGTTACAGAAGTTTTCGTAACTAATTCCGTCGCTAATTCTATTATGTTGCAACTCTATCGCTAATCCATTACTAATTTGAAATTTCATTATTTTATATTATAATTTTACAACAATTTATGTAATTAAGGATATAATGATTTAAATGTATTTTTAATTGTAAAATAAATTGATATATTTGTGGAGTTGGTGTTAGTAAAGGTATCATCATCATTCATATCATCATTAGATACATACTGAGAATAGGAAAGCAATTTTTTAGAAAACTTGTTTATATTTTATTAAAATTAATTTCTCTTGATTATTAATAATAACTAAAAAATATAATGAAAATATTAATAACTTTCTTGTACAAACTAATATAAGAAAAAATAATTTTATCATTCATACAATATATTGAAAGACGTAATATATAATAAAAATCTAAAACTAAAAAATAAATTTATATGAACACCTCAATTTATGATTATAAATCAAACTAATATTAAAGTGAATTTTGAATTTCAATCATTAAACAATAAAATTTAATCATGATATAATTAATACCTATGATACAAATTGATTTTGGTCTTCAATGCACAAACAAATAAAAAATTTTAAGAAAATAAATTATATAAGATACATATTTAAGTAAAAGAATGTTGTTTATCATTATCTATTCAAATCATTTAATTTTTTATATAGAATAATTTATTAGATTTTCTTATGGTAGCTATTTTATGAATAACAAGATTTTATTTGTAATTATAAATGGTTTTCATTAAATATATAAAACACATATAGATAATATAATATAATGTAATATAATACATATATAACTAAATTATATATCTTATCAATGTTAATTAAAAAAATTTTAAGAATATTTACGAAAAATAATTTATGATTTAAAATTCAAAATTAGTGTCACTGAAAATTAAAATTATATTAAAATTTTTTTTAAAAGAATAAAACATTATAAAATTTGTGACAAAAATTAGCACCAGTAATAAGTGACAAAAGAATTAGTGACAAAACAAATTCTGTCGCTAATTCATCGTTAAATAAAAATTCCGTTATTAAATTCTGTCACTAATCATTTTTTTTTTTTTAGTGCTTCACTAAGTTTTATTTAAATCATTTTGGAACTTTTGATTAGTAAGTTCCATGAGACATTTTTACAGTACTTTGTATTCCTTAAAACCTTAGTGTCATTTTCCCTTTTAAATCCATACATACGTATGTGTGTGTTATATTCACAGGGCCCATGCATACATATGCGTGTCATTTTCCCTTGTTCGGAATATGGATGAGGCCGAAAAACAAAAGAAAAGAAATCTGGGGCGTGTGATCTTGTCTTTAATTCATTTCACTGGGGCCCACGTTGCTATTATAGCTCCCATTCTTTATTTAATCTCCCTTGAGCGGCTTCACATGGGAAAAATGACTGAACAAGACAAGGTGGAGATTAATAAATACCAAAAAAGAGAGATAAGCTTTATAATGCCTGCAAAGAAAAGAACACGAGAATGAGATTTTGAAATTCAAGTTAAAACAACGCCCCTTATTTTGACTCTAAATAATAGGGTTTGTGAACATTCTGTAATGGTAAATTTGTGAGCAGTTACATGAAGAAGCTTTCCGTGACTGGAGAGCCAGCTTGCCCTCCTTCCTAAATTACAAAGTTTGAGTGAGTTTCTGGTTCTTCATTTGAAGGTGAAGATGAGGGACTGAGATGCGTCCAGTGGAAAGTTTTCATAATTAGTTGAAGGTTGAACCGAAGGGTGGAATCTTTTTTTTCCCCCTGTTAGCTGTATGGTTTGTTGGATATGTAATTTCTTTTGGTTGTTTTGTGACAAGTTTGAACTTTAAATATTTTGCATTGTAAGTTTGACATGGGTCTGATACTTTGGATATTAATTACTTTGCAATAAACTCTGTTTTGAATGCCTGGCTTTATTTTTTCTGATGTCCTGTTTTCGGTGTTAGATTATTAAATTAATACTCTCTCCGGTTCTAAATATAAAACTCATTTTGTAGTTAAATTACACTACAAAATAGATCTTATGTTTAGGACTGAAAGAATATTATAGATGAGGAAATTTTGAAAGATGATACAGTTAATTGGACAACTGTGTATAAAACTTTTGGCCAATGCAGTTTTGTAATATAGTCCCCCACTTGCATTGCTTTCGGTTGCATCAAGTTAATTATTATTGATTAATGATCAGGCTATGTCTGCGTCAAGCGGGACCACGGACTACTTTTTGAGAAATTCTTGCGTGCTCCGAGTCACTGTGCAGCACCCAGTAAAAGTTTGTCACCGGAAATTTATTTTATGTTGTGTCAGTATTCCTCACATGCGTTTATGTCACCTAACATTCCCTACTTTGGGCCTTCTGCTTTCAGAGTCAACAAGTTGACCTTTACCTCCTTCCTCTGTTCCTCTCCACGTCAATCCCAATTGTGAAGACCTTAATCACGAGTTACGATCCTTTTGTGGTCGCCACGATTCTGGGAACTGTGGAAGGGAGCATTTTGTTGAGGTCAGTACGTTTCTTTGATCCTTTTTTTCTTTGGCCAGTAGCAGAACTCCTAGTACAACCTTGGCTACACCCTGTTCTTGCATTTCGTGTGGAATAAAAAACATTTGATCTTTTTCCCATATTAGATTCTCTGTTATGTTTTAGCTGAGCTTGGCCTGCATATTTTTTCTCCATAACCTCAGGCTGTTGCTGATACATGGATGGAGACAAGAGAGATAGTGTAATTAAGTGCACGATTTGGGATTTTGTGGCAAGTGTGTCAGCCATAAATGGCCTGGTTTGCTTTGCTCTCGGCGACGTCTACAAAAAGTCATTTGGAAAGTTGGGTATGGGCGGTCTCGTTATTTATCTGTCTGTCGGATTAATTGTGTGTATGCTCATATGGCTAACCCGGAAAATTAAAGTTGAAGAAGGATTCCAAGTTCCTGTGCTCTCTCTGGTGTTTGGTCTAACATGTTTAGCCTCCACCATCCTTGACATGCTTGGGAGTGGAAAAGCAGATGTGTTTAGCATTATCTCGTATGGTTCATTTGCCTTGATGTCCTTATCCGTGTCGAGGAAGTCTGAGCTTGGATTCGAAACTGGCTTCTCCTCTTTTTTCCTGTCATTGTTTGCCTCACAATTTCCAAAAATCAACCGGCTGCTCACACCGATTGCAATAGTCCTCTGCTCGGTCACCTTTTATATTTTCCGCTCAACACAAAGAGGAGGAGGACAGCATGATTCCACCAATCCAAATAACGATGCACATTTAAGAGGCGTAGAGCAGGTTAAATAACTTAACATTTATTATCACTTTCATAAAGATGTATCTTCCCCAAAATACCGGACAAGTTGCGGGGAAAGCATATTAAACATATTAGATTCAGGCAATCCGCAAAATATGGAGGAAGAAGAAGATTGTTCGTCCTTGACGGCTACGGGAGATCAAATCTATTATTAATGTTCATTTTGCTGATTAAATCTTTCACTCTTGTGTTAATGGTTCCATTTTGTTGCAGCAATCATCGAGCGATCGTATCCCTGAAACAGACCTCAGACAAGAGCTATTTAGAAGGGCGCGCTTCTCTAGAACACTACCATCTACAAGGTTCATGCTCAACATTTAGAGTCATGTTAATGTTAACACACAGTAAAAATTAATTACGCAATATTGCCTTTTCTTTTCTTTTTTAATTCTTTTTTAATCTCCTCTTCATTTCGGAATTCCCAGCAGCATGGTTTTAATGCACATTACTGTGCCTACGCTCCCACACAAATAAATCACTGATCTCCTTCGCTGTTTGTACACAGTTCTAGCAAATATTCAGTCGAAACCTTTGAGCATTCCATCGGGCAAGTGAAGATGGCGGAACCAAAGGTACTCCTCTGAGACATATTAGATTTAGGCAATCAGCAAAATATGGAGGAAGAAGAAGATCGTTCGTCCTTGACGGCTGTGGGAGATCAAAATCCAATATCAATGTTCATTTTGCTGATTGAATATTTCATTCTCGTGTTAATGGTTTCCATTTTGTTGCAGCAATCCTTGGGCGATCATAAACGACATACCAATGTGGAGGTGGGAGATCAAATTCAATATCAATGTTTATTTTGCTGATTAAATTTTTCACTCATGTTAAAGGTTTCGATTTTGTTGCAGCAATCCTCAGGCGATCATAAAGAACGTACCAATGTGGAGGTGGGAGATCAAATCCAATATTAATATTTTAATGTTTGTTTTTCTAATTAAATTTTTTACTCGTGTTAATGGTTTTCATTTTGTTATAGGAATCCTCAGGCGATCGTATTTTTTCAGAAAAAGAAGAACAGACCAAGGTGGTGGTGGGACATCAAATCCAATATCAATGTTTATTTTGCTGATTAAATATTCCACTCTCATGTTAATGGTTTCCATGTTGTTGTAGGAACCCTCAAGCCATGATAGTTCTTTAAAAGAAGCACGGATCGACATGATGGTAGGAGATCAAATTTAATACCAATGTTTATTTTGCTAATTAAATATTTCACTCTCATGTTAATGGTTTCCATTTTGTTGTAGGAATCCTTAAGCCCTCAGGATTCTTTAAAAGAAGGACTGGCCTGCCCAAGCTGCGTAGGAGATCAAATTCAATATCAATGTTTATTTTGCTAATTAAATTTTTCACTCATGTTAATGGTTTTCATTTTGTTGCAGAACGTATGCAATAGTTGTTCTATAGTAAGATATAAGAATGGAGCGGTGGCACATCCAATCCAATATCAATGTTTATTTTGCTGATTAAATATTTCACTCGTGTTAATGGTTTCCATTTCGTTGCAGCGATTTTCGGGCCATCGTATCCTAGAAACAAGCCTCCCACAAAGGCAAACCAAGAGGTACTCCTCTAAAACACCATCATCTATAAGGTTCATGCTCAATATTTAGAAGGTGTTTGGATGAAACCAAACCATAATTTAGATAATAGCTTCTGAAAAATAAATTTTGAGAGAATAAATTTTGTGAAAAATAGATTTTATAAAAAAGTGATTAAGTATTTACATAGTTGTTATCAAAAGCATTTTTTATATGTACAAATTACTAAAAAATGTATAAGTGAATATGATAATTACATAAAAGATAGATTTTATAATATATTTTAATTTGAAGGAATAAAATTGTTATTATATATTTTTTACCAATATAATTAATAGTATATAAAATAATGTAATTAATAGATAATTAATATGTGTATATACATTTATAAAACATAAGATTAAATATGTTTATAGAAAAATAATTGAGAGGTGTTAAAGTCATATTACCGTTGTAATCTACCTTGATAGATATAATTATACTCTCCAATTTGAGTCACAAACAGAATAGATTCACTTTTTCTGAAACCATAGTTTTGAACCTAAAACCATAGTTTGTTGATTTTTCTCCTGTTTGACAAATTTTTGACCCAACCCATCATGATTTCATATATTTGCCAAACAGGGCCTTAAAGTCATATCAATGCTAATGCGCAGTAAAAATTAATTACAAGATATTGCCTTTTCTTTTCTTTTTTAATCTCCTCTTCATTTTGGAATTCCCACCAGCATGATTTAAATTTATATTACTGTGCCCAAGCTCCCACACAAATAAATCACCGATCTTTTTCGCTGTTTGTACACAGTTCTGGCGAACATCCAGTCGAAACCGATATTGTGGCTGGAAAAAGCAAAAGCGAGCAAAAGAAGATAGCGGACCCAAAGGTACTCCTCTTAAACATATTAGATTTAGACAATCAGCAAAATATGGAAGAAGAAGAAGATCGTTCGTCCTTGACGGCTGTGGGAGATCAAATCCAATATTAATGTTCATCTTGCTGATTAAATTTTTCACTCATGTTAATGGTTTCCATTTTGTTACAGCAATCCTCCTCAGGCGCTCGTATCAATGAAACAGAACTCCGACAAAGGCGAAAGAAAAGGCACTCCTCTGAAACACCATTATCTACAGTGTTCATACTCAATATTTAGAGTCATGTCAACGTTAATCCACAGTAGAAATTAATTGCACAATATTGCCTTCCCCCCCCCCCCTCTTTTCTATTCTGTTTTAATCTCCTCTTCATTTCGGAATTCCCAGCAATATGATTTAGATGCATATTACTGTGCCCAAGCTCTCACACTAACAAATCACCGACCTCCTTTGCCGTTTGTACACAGTTCTGGCCAACAACCAGGCAACACCCATGACGAGGTCCCAGGAGGCAAAACTCAAAAGCCTTCCAGCAGGCAAGAGAAAATAGCGGACCCAAGGGTACTCCTCTGAAACACCCACCATCTACAATGTTCATGCTCAATATTTAGAGTCATGTCAATGTGAATGCACAGTAAAAATTAATTACACGATATTGCTTTTTCTTTTCTTTTCTATTCTTTTTTAATCTCCTCTTCATTTCGGAATTCCCATCAGCATGATTTAAATGCATATTACTGTGCCCAAGCTCCCACACTAATAAATCACTGATCTCCTTCGCTTTTTGTACACAGTCATGGCATGCCTTAGAGTCATGTCAATGCTAATTCACAGTAAAAATTAATTACGCAATATTTCCTTTGCTTTTCTTTTCTTTTCCTTTTTAATCTCCTCTTCACTTGGGAATTCCCAGCAGCATGATTTAAATGCATATTACTGTGCCCAAGCTCCCACACTAATAAATTACCGATCTCCTTCGTTGTTTGTACACAGTCATCGCATAACCCAAAAGGCTAGCAGATGACGCACCACGACAGGAACCAAGGTGCCCCATTGAAATTGAGTGAGGGTGAGAGCAGCCAAACGCATTTGGGTCACCAGTGTTGGAGAATGTTGTGGTCCCTCTCTTTCTCTTTGCTTTTCGAATTTCTCTCTTTGATTTCAGTTGCTGCCATGATTTCCTGGGATTGTCTAGAGTACTGTGGCTGATATTTCTCTTTGCTTATGAACTTATGAGACCGTTTGGCTGATATTTCTTTTTGCTTATGAACTTATGAGACACTTTACCTCCATTGTGCTTGTTCTGATCTATATTATACTGGTGAATTTCTTATTTCAGACAACCTTATTATTACATTGATGCTATCATTGACCTCCCATAACCCCAAAAAAACAAAAAAAAATAGAGAGAGAATTACTATGAGATCTTAAGGAAAGAATTTAATTATTAAAAGTTTTAGTGATAACTGAGCAGTATAAACCAGTTATCATTTCCTACACAGGAAATTGTTATTACATGCTTCTCAATTGTTAATGGATTATAGGGTAATTAAATCTCTTCCTTAGGATCAGATTGCAATTCTCCAAAAATAAAAAGTAAAATTCACCTTCTATTTAATCATGCATCTTGCCGGCTTAGGTTTATTTTCTACTTTTTCTTTCATTTACTTTGGTCCTATGGGTGTTGTTTGGTTTAAACTGATGTAAAGTCCAATATGTTGGTATCGTTTTACTTTATTTGAATAACTTGATTTTTTTCCCAAAAACATTCACTTTTAATTAAAAAAAATCAAATAAATAAGGCCTAGTCTGATTATGTTTAATTGGAACTTAGCCCTTTATATTTTCCAAATCATGACCATGTGTTTACATGTTTAAATCACAGCCAATCAGATTATATTTAATTTTTGTTTCCAAATATCAAATTAAGCTGTTTGCTATCATGACAAATCAGTATCCAATTTTTACTCTGAATTTCTGATAGGTTCATCTTGTAAATTTTCAGAATTTTCACTTTTTTATTTATTAATATATTGACTATTGACTCAAAAATTCCCTAAAGCGTGATTGACTCTAATATCAATTCTAATTTTTTGCACGTCAAACACATATGTGCCACACCTTTTTTAATTTCATTAATTATATATGCAGGGAAAATGAGGGAAGTTGGGTTATAGAACATGGGGGGAGAGGGAAGAAGGTAGAGGCGAAGATGGCGTTAAACGACTAAATGATAAAATCAATGCTACATAATTATTACTCCTCCGATCCTTAATATAAAATCTATTTAATTAATTTAATTAAATTAAAAAAGTTAAGTAAATTAGCTAATTATAAGAAATATAACATGTTTTTCTTAAAACACCATAATCATCTTCTTTAATATCATCCCTCCCTCTTCTATTTGATTATGGTTAAGGAAGTATCTATAAGGGTAATTTAGAAAAAATTGATAAAAATAAGAAATAGGTCTTATATTTAGAATAAAAATCAACTCAACAATTAAGTTATATATTAAGGATAGGAAGAGTAATATTTAATAGTTACTTTTACTCATATTTAACGGAACCCTCAAATTAAAACAAATCAAATATTCTCTGATCGCATCAAATTTTTCAAGAATATTTTACAGTTTTTTTTTGGTTAATAATCGTCAAAATTAAAAAAGCGTCAAACAAAATGCCCATGCCTGTGAAAGATTTCAAAATCTTTCTTCTTAATAAAAAATATAGAATATATAGCGGAAAATAAATCTAAAATATTCAACTAATGAATTCAAATATAAATAATTCATCATGGGTTCAAAAGTTATTGTTTTTAAAATTTCTTAAATCTTAAATTTAAATAATACATAAGAGGCTAAGATAAGTGTAAAGAAAGAGTGAAGTTTAAGTTTAAAAAATATATTCATCAATTTCAAACTAAAATTATAAATCAATTCAAAAATTTTAACCATTAAAGAGAAATAAAAATATTTAATCATGATTTATAATTATTAAGGGGTCCCTTTTTTTTTTTGGTGATTTTTTATGGAGAAGATTAAGGCATCTACTGTATTATAGGAAGGTGGCGCTATGCATTCTTATTCTGTTTTCCCCCATTTGATTTTTTTTTTTTGGTGATTTTGTATAGAGAAGATTACGGCATCTATTAGTTGTCAACATAAGCTTTATTTTAATCTAATATTTCATGGAAAAAATTAATCTAATATTTATGATCTTTGTTAAGTTTATAATTATTTTTTTATTTGATGATGTTCAGTGACCTCATGTATAAACTCCATAGAAATTTTTATATTGAGTATGTTAATCTATGGGGGTCGGTGGATTTAATTTCAATAATTTGCAGGGTGAAAGTATATCTAGCATCATGGAGTGTTTTTTAGGTAGATCTAGTATTTTAAAGTATTATGTATTGCATCGGGCACTTCAAAATACTTTTTTATATGCGTATAGGATGTTAAAATATTTTTTAGTATAATTTTACACTAAGCAATTTAAGGTGCTAGATTCATTAAAAAAAATTTAGGATAATGGATGCAACTAAAAAAAAAAATTTTAAGGTGCTAAATATACTAAAATATAATTTAAGGTACTGGACACATCTAAAAAAAAATATTTTAGAATTTTGTATGCATCACAAAATATTTAAGAATACTGTATGCACTTTATAATCTTAATAGTAATTTACTAATAGTAATAAACTCTTATAATTATATCTAATTCAAAATTGAGATAACCAATAAAGTCATGTGCATTAATTTTTTTTATTGATAATTATAGGTTATTTGGAAATGAACAAGGTGAACCCCCATTTTGTTCGGCCCACAAGAAATAATAAATAAAATAAATAAATAATAATTAAAGAAAAAGTAGTCTTGATTCTCTCTTGGAGGCGAAGCTTGAAAGGTCCACCATGTAGTAAATAAAAAAGAAAAAAAAATCTCCCCGTAATAAATGGTAATAAAGTAAAAAGTGAGTTTAAATGTTGATTGGCTCCTGTTTAGAAAATAGAATGTGGAGTCATTAAACAAAAATTCACAAATTGAAAAATAAGAAATAGAAAAAATCTCTCATGTAAGATGATTGGCTCCCAATTTGAAATATCTTTTAGAGTCATAATTATAAATAAAATAAAATAAAATAAAAATAATAATTAATGATAATTTGGTGCCTACCAATAGCCTACAAATAGAAGAGTAAAAATTGAAGGAAAAGAGGCAAAATCTTTATAAGAGAAAATGAGGTAAGGTAGTAAATTTTTCTATCATTTTTTTTTAATGGCAGCAGGGGTTTAGTAATGGTAGAGGTGACTGAAACAAAGTGAAGTTCATTGCTTATCTTTTTTTCACTCCCACGGAAAGCCTATGTCTTTATAGTGGTTGTCACAAATGTGAGCCTTGACGCCAATGGCTAGAGGGTGTACTCCAATGCACCTATTCTTTTCACCTATGTCTTGCCGGATTTCTTCACGCTAATTGTGCCAGGCCCCATGATTGTTCTTGTATCTGCTTTGAATTTGATCAGATGCGATGAAAGTGTGGTATGGAAAATTGCCGGCAAAGTCCTTGGACGCAAAGAAAATCGCTGTAGCTTCCACAAAATCTATTGGGCTGGGATACAATCTCACACAAATGATCTCAAGCTCAAATCCCGCCAGAGAAATTCTCCAGACCCAAGATTAATTATAATTACTATATAAATTCTCCCGCATGGGTTGCCTTTTTAACTTCGGGCTGGGCGGTGAAGAAATCCAGTTAGATTCTATTCTCTATTCACGCCTGAGCTGAGTTGGAAGACATATTGGCAATTTTCAATGGTGTTAAAGTAATTTTTTAACATGTAGGATAATTATTTAATGAGTCAAAATAAATTATATATGGTAAGGATTAAATTATTAAATATAAAAAGATTAGAGGCTAAATTACAAACAAATCAAAAGTATAAAGACGGAGTTACAAAAAGTTATAGTTGTTGCGAGTGAATTAGGTGCTGTGCAGCTAATTAAGAAGAATTAACGGCATAGCAAATTAAATTGAGAGCAAAACTTGATATTTAAGCTTCGTGTGCTCTAATTGCCCTACAAATCAACGATAAAGAATATCTTCATAAAATATTAGCAAGGCATCTAAAAGGAAAACAGCGAAACAAGCTTATATACTTGAGGAGATAGAATGAATAAGAGCCATGAACAGAAATGAACATGAATTAGCATTAATCAAATATTTCAACTCAAGCCTGCTGAAAATACAGGGAACCAAAAAAATCAGACATGCATGAACGAACCCCTGCCTCCAAAATATTTTTCCTGTTTTCCCTACAGGGGAAAAGATAAAGAGGTTTAGTAGTCCAAACAAGTATGATACTCAAGGGCTTATCTCATGTTTTGACTTATGATAGATCAAATGAGCATATAAAACTTGTAAAAAAAATTAACTAATACAAGATCAAACAACTACCATGGAATAGTCATGCGGAGGAGAATCATGGAGTATAAGAATACAACTGGTAACCGGCTGATATAATTTTTGAGTTCATCACAGAACCATTTAAAAAGATTGACCTACAGCAAAATTCTCAAAACAATATCAAATTGTAATTCATTTGCCTCAACCTACAGCGTTTAGTTTAGTTTTCTTTGCTTCAAAATATCCTACTCCATAACTGCTACTCCTCCAGCAGCTTTAATCTTTTCTATCATCTCATTTGCCTCTTCTTTAGTCACCCCTTGTTTGAGCACAACAGGTACTTTTTCAACGAGATCTTTCGCCTCTTTCAAACCCAGGTTGGTAAATGTTCTGACCTCCTTAATCACCTTGATCTTTGCAGCAGCATCAAACTTTTCCAACTTGACGTCAAATGCTGTTTTTTCTGCTTTTTTCTCCTCAGCCTTCGGTCCAGCCGCACCACCTTGTGGAGCCAAGTCCAAGCCTTCAGTTGAAATTGGCTGCAACTTCGGAAGCCTTAGTCTTTCTGCCAAAGTAGGCATAATTTGACGGCGTTCTTCATCAGGCAATGCCGCTATTCGCTCTGCAAGCTGAACAACTTTCTCCGAGGGAGGAGGTCTGGGGCCATATGGATCATAAAATTGAGGGATTTTGTACTTTTTTGGTTTGGCTTTTGGATCTCTGGGTACAAAATCGGGTTGGAATGCACGAGAATTCCCAAGTGCACATGTGCTGGGCAAATTGTGGCGACGAGGGAGTAATCTGGAAATTACAGTAAACCTCATGTTTCCGTTCAATTAAGATTGCGACTCAGAATCAAAATGCAGGGGAAAGTTTCTCTTCCAACATAGTATTTGCTTCACCCCCTGTCAAATTTCAAAACCACTTTCTTTAACAAATACTTGAGAAGCAACAAGATCATATGGTAAACCACAAGTCATGAGATATATGATAATTCATACAAGTGCAGATGCTCACATCATATCAACATTCTACCCAAATATTTTCATAGGGAAGAGGAGAGTATCATCATGGAGCATCAGAAAATAGCTGGAAATAATAACCCATAAAATATCACGTCTCTTACTTATAATCTAATTAATCAAAATTGTTAAAGTCACAAGCATAATACCCTATACAACATCCCAAGATGATAAAAGGGGTGGGGTAAAAATTCCCACTTCCAAGTACACATACTTAATAATACATGTCTTGTCCAATTCATTTGGAAGCATGGTGAATATTTTTAACCATGATCCATCATTTTCATTTAAACCAACCAATGTTCAGATGCCTTTGGATGAGAACCAATGAAATTAACACTGTAATTTGAATTAAAGGCTGCTTCTTTCAGTGATTGAACAATACCACCGCTGCGAAAAATCTTCAATTTTCAATATACACCCATATGTACTCATTCATTCAGTACCAAGAACCCAAAAATGTGATCCAAATAAAAAACCCTGCTTGAATTCTTTTTACCTCAAGGAATTAATGCAAAGACAAATATTGATAAAAGTTCAATAAATGGAGTTAATGGCCACCCAAAAAAAAAAAAAGAGTCGAAAAGGGCCAGATAAAAAATTGAAGTTAGCATTGTTATCACAAAAATCACTTGCAGGATAAATTTTGTGACTGCATTGGACAGGTATATTTGATATCCCAAAAAAAAAGAAGTTACATCTCTAAGCTCTAAATCGCCTTTCATTTTAATTACAAAAACAATTCAAGATTACAAGGGATGGAAACAGGCCAGGCCACGCTTTCCCCTTAACAGGATAGGCTTGTCTTGTAAAAAACTAGCCTGAGCCTGGCGTGTGACCTGGTAGAGGCTTTCTTTTCAACCTAAGCCTGACCTGTACAAAAGCCTAGCCTGGCCTAAAGCCTGTTAAAAAGCCTGTATTTTTTTAAACAACTATAAACAAGCTAATAGGCCTACACCTTCAAATAGGTCAAAAATAGGCTTCCACATAAAATAGGCCTAAACCTTTAAACAGGCCGAAAACAGGCCATATATGCATAAACAAATTCAAAATTATAATAATCCAATCCAAAATTATCCAAAATACAAAACACAATCTAATACAATCTAATTAATTAACAAGATAATACCAAATGCAACGGAACAAGTTTCACTACAATTACAATAATTTTGACCAAATAAAAGTATAGCTATCTGCCGCACATCATCAAATTTTGAATAATTTCTTCTTGTTTGAACACCTTGAAAAGAAGAAATGAAATCTATAATATATTAGCGATGAATCATAGACTAGAAATGAATCATAAAGCATATATTAGCAATTTAGCATATAACAGTTGAATGATTAAAAAAATGCTTCCACCCTCTAGGAAAATGAGTAAGAAATCTGATAAATCAAAAGTTACCAAAAATATCCACGACACTAAAGTTCCTAGTTTGCTATAGGAAAATTATGATAAAATCTTGATCCATTGGCACAACACAGGCGATTGTAGAATCTATAAACGCGAGGCACGCCAAAAAGAACAAGAAGAAGAACAATGAAAAATTGTAAAACATAAGCACAGCACAGCGTTGTATGATTAAAATTTTGATAAAATCTGATGCTCTCCATATATATTTTATATATATTCATGGCGGTGACTTCAGATTTTTGCGACTTTTGCCATGAATATATACATATATGTATAGGAATATAAATATATATGGGACCTTGTGTGTATATATATATATATATTCATGGCGGTGACTTCTGATTTCAGCGATTTCTGCAATGAATATATATAATCATATTCAGAATTCAAATTTCTGCGATTTCTGTCATGAATAATGAAATCATATTAGCAGTCGACCGCTTTTGTTATTTGAATACGATGGACGAGAGAAAGTAGTGTTCTAGTTATCAAAGTTTAGTTTGTAACAAAAAGCTTACCTATTGACGGCGCACGGGCTAAATGAGGATTGAGGAGGATGAGAGGTTAGATCCGGGGATTGGGATGATGTGCGAACGGCCGACCGTGCAAGCTCGGAGCTGGAGAGTGAACGACGGTTATACTGTGGCTTGTGAGGTCCGACCGTGCGAGGTCGGAGCTGGAGATGGTGAACGGCACCAACGAGACTTGGAGAATGGAGAACAAAGTGGAGACTGGAGATGGAGATGGAGATGGAGATGGAGATTGGAGAGCGCAAGTGGCGGCCAGATTGAACCGAAGGACAAAACCCAAGGAGTAAGGTCAGAGTAACAATTTTTTTTTTTTGGGGGGCAAACTTAAGTAATTGGGTTTAAAATTATAAATCGTGCATTATAAGTAATAAGAAAAATGCATTGGTGTAGTGGTAAGATTTATTTTTAGCATAATTGAACATAAATACATAATGCATTGGTGTAGTGGTAAGATTTATTTTTAGTATAATTGAACATAAATACATAATATTGTAAATTCATAACAAGCTCAGACTGTCTAATAAGTTTTATAGGCTTTTTATAAAGCCGGGCCTATTAGGCAAAATAGACTCTCAAATAGACATGAGCCTGTGTGTATTTTTAGCAGACCTGATAGGTTTTATAGGCTTTTTATAGAGTCTGAGCCTGACCTGTTAGGCAAAATAGACTCTTAAAGAAGCTTGAGCTTTTGTGTGTTTTTTAGCAGGCCAAGCTAAAGGTTTCTGATAGGCAGTCTGACCTGTTTCTACCCTTACACATGGCATCGTGGATTTTATTCTGAGGAGAATTTCTATTCATGTCTCTTTTTAAATACATATATATATATATATATATATATGCAGAGAGAGAGAGTGTGTGTGTGTGTAAGTGTGTGTGTGACAAGCGAAATGTTGTTAAAAAAGGGAAATTTTTAGGTTAAAATGACATTTAAGATTAAAAAAAAGAAGTAAGTTTCAAAGATTTTGTTAAACGATAAATTCTAAATTCAATTTGATTTAATTGATTTTTTGATTTTGCACAATGTCTTTTTTATAATTTTTTAATAAAATTAGAAATTATAATATTTACATATTATACAAATATTATATAACTATTTAAAATTATTATCTTAATCATTAATTTGACATTTTAAGTGTTTATTAGGTGGTTATGTGAGCGTTCGCAAACTGGGATAAATATTACTCCCTCCGTTCCTTATTATAAGAGACAAATAACCGAAGTACGTTGATAAAAAAAATAGTTAAAATTAGTTAAGAACAATTAATGTGCAAAAAGTATCATTTTTTTCCAAAAATGCCCTCATTAATAAGGAGAGAGAGCATGAGGGAGAACAATTAAATTATTAAAAGAAAGAGAAGTGGGAAGGAGGGAGAGTGTGAGTTGGAGATAATAAATATGGGTAAAATAGTAAATCAACACAAAAAAGTAGAGACAACTTGTAAGTGTTTCTTATATATATGAACATGCCATAAGCATCAAATGTCTCTTATAATAAGGAACGGAGGGAGTACTAGTTGAGAACAATTAATGTATAAAAGTATAATTTTTTTCCAAAAATGCCCTCATTAATAAGGAGAGAGAGCATGAGAGAGAACAATTAAATTATTAAAAGAAAGAGAAATGGGAGGGAGAGAGTGTGTGAGTTGGAGATAATAAATATAGGTAAAATAGTAAATCAACACAAAAAAGTAGAGACAACTTGTAAATGTCTCTTATATATAGAAACATGCCATAAGTATCAAATGTCTCTTATAATAAGGAACGGAGGGAGTATAGAACACCAGGCATAGTATATCAAGCATATTTAATTATTAATTTAGCAACCTTTAAAAAAAAAACTTTGGCACCCTCAGCTCTTTTCTCCCCCAACTTTTTTAGGGCCAGCGAGACCTCAACTTTCTTTGCACCAAGGTTAATGGTAGAAATGGACTGAAATGTGAATAATGGATTAATGGTTAAAAAATAAAACATTTTTTTATATAACCATAAAAAATAAGTTTACAGTGCAGAAAATAATGGAATGCAGGATTCTCAAGCCATACTTATTTTTCATACAATTATTATGGATCCATTTGAATACATGGGCTTTCCATCCTAATAAAATACCAAATATTGGACATTCCAACAATGTTTTACACAATGTTCAAAATACCCTTCTTCTATTTTCCAATCTCCATTTTCATTTCCGTGAAAAAGAATCTGTATGAAGATCCTTAAAATTGACAAAAATTAGATTGTTGTGCTTGGAAGCCTGATACCAAGGCCCTCACATGCAAATCAAATGAAACAAAGTGGAAAATTCGTTATGTAAAACTAATTATGTCACAACATAATAATTAAAGTCATTTGCTTCCTTGTGTGAATTATTTGATTTTATTTATAAGATTTTCATTTCATCATGAAATTTAAATCATCCGAGATACTTTTGAGAGATAAATTAGAAATGGATCAAATAAAATAATGAGTCTCATTTCTACTTATATACAGGACTCTGAATAAAACTCACCTTTTTTTTTCCCTCAAGATCCTTTAATTCCGTCATAAAACATTTGTGTTCTCATCATTCACAGCTTTCTTGTTCATTGTCAGAGGTATGTTAGTTAGAGTTCTTAGTCCAAAAATTAAAGAAGTTTCTAAAAACAACTTGTGAAGATTCCTATACTATGTATGTGAAAAAGTCCAAGGGCTAATCCCTACCTATGCTATGACTTTTGTTTCCATTCCATGTTCTAAACCAATACTACCTCCGGTCCTAATTATAAGACCCAGTTGACTTATTTGAGGAGATTAAGGAAGTATGTTAAGTTAGTTATTTGTAATAAATAAGTATTGTCATTCCTAAAATATCCTTGCTAATTAAGTGTATTGGCTAGAACTATCATTATTAAAAGGACTATCTTGGAAAAAAATGTATAAATATGAGAGAGAAAATGGATTGGGGTCTTATAATTATGACCAAACAAAAATTCAAATGGGGTCTTATATTAAGGACCGGAGGTAGTATTATATAACTCGTGATTGATGAAGCACATATGTAAATTTAGACCCATTCCAAATTCTATACTATCTTGAATCTTGCAAAACAAGAACCTGGAAATTTTTATCTTTCTACCCATAACCTCATATGATATATTGATATTATAAATCCTAAGATTCAATTCACTTAGCGCACTAGTTGTCTTGCTTATTAGGTTTTGGCTCTGCTCCATGATATCTGGCTTGTTCTCTCTCCTTGGCTTTAATGCCAAGGTTTTTGTATTTGGTTCGTTTCTCCAGAGATTATTTCAGATACCTCTCATACACACCATAACCCTTCAAAACATACAAGAGCATGTAGCTAGATCGCAAGTTTTTTTCAACAGAGAGAAATAAAGTTTGGGTTAGTCAGGTTTTAGAATTCATGGAACCATTAGAATTATGGCAACTCCTAGTCTTAACAGAACACTTACAGAAGTATTTACAGAACATCCGATAGAATAACAGAATTTGAGCATGTATGCAAAGTTTTAGGTTCCTAATTAATAACAGTTAAGTTTTTTAGATATGCAGCAGGTAGTACAGTAGAATGAAACCCAGTTTAAATTTGAGTTCAGGCTGAAACCAAATCATTCTGAATTAAGATCAAAGCAATTAATAATCCATCCCTTTGGTTGTATGAAGGTTTACATGTGTGTGTATATTGTTAATTAGGAACACAAAAGGGGAGTATAATAGTGCTTAGAATGAATACGATCCAAGACAACAACAAAAGCCATCATGAGTTCAGGTTGAAACCCAGGTTGAACCACCAGGTTGAAGACATCATCAGCAAGAAGAACCGTCTTGTTCACTCTCTTCCTAGAAATCCTGGCAGCTATGTGTCCTCTGCTGTTTCTGATGACACAGTTTCTCCTTCTGAAACATCCTTGTACCTTAAAATCTGGTGTGTCATCATGAGCCTTACATCCTTGACCTTGTCTGCCTGATGGTCCCATGAACACCTGAGCTTCGTCATGATTTTGATCCCCTCCTCCATTAAACACCATTGACCCACTTGATCTCATGCTGAATAAAGCTTTTGGCTTTGCCCCACTACTCTTACTATTATTACTGCTTTTATTATCTCTTCTACTGCAATATCCTTCTCCTCTGTAAGCATTCCACTGCATGCTGAATATCTGTCACATAAATACCCATATATTTATTTACCTTCCATTCACTGCATACAGCACTACAAGACATAATCATCAAGTCAAAATCATCTATGATATTCACAAATTATAAACAGCATTTGTCTTATTCCTTGGATTTTGTGAGAAACTCTTGTCAACATACACAAGTCTAAAAAGGCTGTCCATCCCATAATACAAGCTTTCATTCAGCCTCCTGCCGGTCAGAATCCTTCATAGGTAGCTCTCTCAAGTTAGCTAGTTCTCAATGAAAGCATCTTTGTTATGAACACAAATTCATCAAAAGGAAAATGTCAATACCAAAAGACTAGTTTATTAGGAGCCAAAACTCCCTAAACTTGTCACATGTTTTCCTCCAAGAGCTATACACAGCATGTCTCATCTCTTGGATTTCATGAACAAACGTGTGGGATCATCAATATCAGTATTCATTATAAAATTCATAAAAGATCATTCCATCATTCATAAATCATATATATATATATATATATAATAGAATCTGTGCCATGGGAAAACATGTGTATATAATTAAGGTACCTGAGGCTTGAGGGTGAGCAAGGCGTTGCCGGCGCCGTCCATGAGGATGGCGGTGGAGTTGTTTCTGGAATAGTCATCGACTCGGAAAGCGAGCTTTCCATGGTGATCGAAGACGGTGAAGCCATCGGTACCCTGGAAGCTCATGGTGGATCTCTTCCACACGGTGAGAACACAAGGCTGAGTCTTCTCTTTGGACATGGACTCCTGATGCCCTTGACGATGATGATGCTGATGATGGCTTGGATGAATTCTGGACATGGCAGCTCTAGCAGAAGAAGAAGATGAAGAAGAAGAAGACCGATGATCAGGTTATTGAGAAATGAAAGAGTTGTTGTTTAATTTTGGCATTATAGATTGTGATATCATCAAAGCTTATAAGCGTTTAATTACGCCGAAAGAGGAGTGTGAGGATTATGGAACATAGTGGGAAACATCAAATTCTCAAGTGGGTCCCTACTTTCTGCCACTAATATCGATTTTGCTGTTTATGCGCTGTTCCTTTTCACTATTTTTCTCTTCGTAATT